GTTCCTCCCTTGTGAGTAAGTCTCGATATCAATCTAATTCATATTATAATATCTCAATGCAGTGGCGTAGCCAGGAATTTTTGAGTCATGGGCAATTCATCAGCCGAACTATTTTGAGTTACGGGCAGCTAAGGGCAACCGTTATGATTTCAAAAGTATCTATGGACAATAACTGTTCAAGCACTGCATAGCTCAATAAATCCATGGGCAATAACTTTTGAAGCTATGGGCAATTGCCCAGTGGCCCTACCCCTGGCTACGCCACTCTGTCAATGTCTCTGTATCACACTCTCATCTAGTTAGAGAATGGGGCATAAATATTGTTGGTATTTGAAGCAAATAAATCTAAATGATAAGAAAAGTAAAAAGAAACTGTACCGGTTGTCTGTACACATAGGAGAGTATCTAATGGCGTAGTCGAATATAGATACAATGCATTTTCGCGATGCTGGATATAACAAGATTTGTTCTTTGAATATAATCGAACTGTCTTCTATCATAGTATAATTCAACATAAGGCTTGTTGTTGGAAAATAGCAAATGATAATTACCTGATATATACGTATACCGTTGGTCAAACATCACGGATGGATTTACTCAGGTAGTCGGCCTCGAAAGCATCACAAGATAATCTGTTAATAGTTTTTGCTCGAATTTCATTACAAACATAAATGTTACACGAAGAAATAGCCTTTCCATACAATTATATCGAAAGTTCTCTTCGAAGGTAAAGTATAGTCACAATTTTTTCTCATTCACTATCAGTCAACAAAACCGAGCTGAAACAGCAATATCTAGAAAATCAATCAATTGTTGCAAATGAGAAAAAGTACAAATGAATTGATTTTCTCCATGCTTTTCTACTTTGTTGACACACAATCTCAAAGAAATGTTGCAGTATATAGTGTAGTAATTTGCACTTTCTTCCGCCCTCTCCTCCGCAGTGAACAGAAAACAGAATCAGGAACAATCCTTTAAATGGTTGCAGTTATCGATATGAAATTTTGTGTAAATATAACTGGTGATTCATATTGACTATCTGCGCTTACCGAATTTCTCTTACTCGAAAGGTTTCTAGACAAGGAAGGTTTCGACTTTCGAAAACAACGAATCAGCACAATAACAAGTAGTTGTTCTATTATGATGTTTTCTAGCAAAAGAGACAGCGGCTCTTTTTATATAGTTGATGCCGTTATTAACTATGTACTATATAGATTTGCCATGGATTAACTACTTTTCGAAGGCCTGAAGTAGATTATCATCAATATTTTGTTTCCAATTGTTGAATCATTGCAGACAACAGATAATAATGATGCAAATTAGTACCATATTCTATAGTTTTCATTCGATATTCATCTTAATGTGTGAATTGCCTAGTTATACAATCTTAAGACTTTGAAGGATAAGTTCACTGTTTGATTATAGTGGAGCATACATATGTGTATATGTCAAATATCTTTGAAGACATGTGTTTTAGTTCTTTATTACTTGAAAAAATCTTCTTGATAGCAAATTATAAAAATACTTATTAAGGCGCCGATGCACACACCTCAGAAGAATTAGAGTTTTGTACATAGGAAAAACTAATGAACACTTACTTGATAATCAAAATATTTTAGAAAGTCGTAAAACATTTATTGAAGATTGATTCCACTGTTGCATTTTTTTTCGATAATACTGGTTGCTTGCGATCTAAATCATGAACGTTAGTCACAAATAACACATGTCAAATAATATTTTGAAAATGTACGGATGTCGATGGGAAAAGTGCACAAACCGGAGTCAAAAAATATTAAAGTAAAGTTTCCAAATGCAGATGTTCAGGTTGGCGGCAAGTCTAGTTATGGCATCTACATGAGTTGACTGATGCTATGAAGTTTGTCACAAAAAAAACGAAACAACAGAAATACTTCTAGTAAGTGTGTAATATTTCGCAAGTTTTAGCAATGTCTATCTGGTATATTGTAGAAAATGTTTAAAAATGTTACACGAAGTTAACTAATAATAATATTCACCTATTGTACGCACTTGATCGTATCTGCTGCTTAACAGACACTCACAGTAAAGCAACATCTAGCATGCACTTAAATTCAGTAGTCTCGTAGCTTCATTCCTAACTATTATATAGACTCAAATCTGGAAAAACGATTCTGTCACATGGCTATTCGCTCTGTTCGCCTCTCCAAAACAAGACTGTATGTTGCCAGCATCTCATTAGTATAGATGAACTACTTTCTTATTGCAGTCCTAGAAGATTAAGAAAAGAATGATGAACAAATGTGTCCCAAGATAGATCAAATAAAACAATTTTCATATGATTAGCAACAATACCTCCATCGTGTTTCATATATTAATCCCACACTGATTAAACTAACAGCCTGTTTTGCCATAATGATTTTTCGTTCTTCTCTTTTCTCGAACATTACATTTCTTCCTATTCTGTCTACGTCATTTTTCTGGAGTGACTGGTGCTTATATATGATGCAGTATACGAGGCAAGAACGTAGAGATGTTATGGATAGTACTACGAGAGTTTCTTAACACTGGAACGTTGAATACTATCGGTCGTAGAAGAATTATGTCACATACGAAGTAGACGGACTAGTATGTTGTGAATGTTTTCTTAGGACTCAATCTCTAGTTAATGGGATTCTTCTCGATTTCAATCTTAGGCATATCGTGAATCGAGAAACATTTGAGAACAGTTACTAGAGATTACCTATTGTGCTCTAATTTTAATTCGAAGTGCCTTGCAATCACTTTGTATCTTACACTTAAAAGTTACTACTGGTTCTTGCGGACAGTTTTGATAATCTCATTCAAAGAATAATAACTGACATTGCATCAGTATTGACACAAATATCTGAAGCTATTGAACAATGAGAATAGATCACGAAATTCCAATTAATATGTCTTAGAATATAGTGAAATGATCTATTTCAAATAATACATCGCTCTCTTGTTGATAGTTATAATTCAGACTGATGCGATAAGAACACCAAGAGATGGTAAAACTACGCAGTTGTAGCTGTTCGTGTCCATTGCGTGAGTTTGGTCATGACAGTCAGCATTTCTTACATGGGAGTGTAAAGTTCTAAAGAAAGCAGATATGCTAGAATTATGTCAAGAAGAATCTTTTATAATTACCAATTTGGCAAGAAAATGCTTCGATGATAACCTAATACAACGTTAAAATTTTATACGAGCAATCACGGATATGTATATGCCGAGTAAGTCATAATGATTACAACAGTTAGTATTTTGCGAATATCGCAGTATAGATGCATTGTATGAACTTGATCTTTTGTTAAACGATAGGCTGTGAAAATTTCTTCAAGAATGACCATAAGAAATCCTGTTGAATTATCTCAATGATTTTTTTTTTTGTAAGGCTGAAATTGAAGCGTTGTATGATGATGAAATGCTCCATTATTCCGAGATAAACAAAAATGAAAATGAAAATGACAATAATTATTTTGCATAGATGTGAACACTAATAAATCATAAAACCTTGAACTGTTTCTTGTTACGTATGTCGTGAAATCCCTCCTGTTTTTATTTTATGAAAGAGTTTTTAAATTGTGTTGATGAGTTTGCGAGTATATTGGTTAATAAAGTGCATCGTCTTACAGTTCATCGTTGAATACAGTAATTGAATCCAAGTGGCTCGGGTTTTATTTTGGTAATGAGCGATAACGATATCACGAAAGTCTTCACATTTTTCATGTAAAAAACTCATCACCACAATTCAAAGACTCTTTTATTAAATAAAAACAGTAGGGATTCCACGACATATGTAACAAGAAACAGTTCAAGATTTTATGACTTGTTAGTGTCCACATCTATGCAAAATAGTCATTGTCATTGTCATTTCCATTTTTGTTTATCTCGGAATAATGGAGCATTTCATCATCATACAACGCTTCAATTTTAGCCTTACAAAAAAATCATTGAGATAATTCAACAGGATTTCCTATGGTCATTCTTGAAGAAATTTTCACAGCCTATCGTTTAACAAAAGATCAACATCATAGAATCCATCTATACTGCAATATTCGCAAAACACTAACTGTTGTAATCATTATGACTCGTCCGTCATGTATATATAAATGTATCAGTCGAATCCATAGCGAACCCATTAACTCGTCGAAAAGAAGCATAGTATGATCTTGATTCGATCAAATAGTTAATTCAACTAGTTGAGATTTATTTTTTGTGAAAGTTTGATAAAATTCACTTGAGTCGATTTTTAACAACACTTGAATTAAACCTGAAAAGTTGCCGCTTAGAACCACAAGAGAACGTGTAGTCACTGCATTGGCTCCAATGAGTACCAGGTGAAAAATTTCATGTGCTAGAAGATAAAGTAAATAATGCTTTGCAAAACTGGCAAAGCCATCACTCATTCAAATTTGGAAGAGGTTTTTTATTGAGAGATCCAGTTTGTGAATCGGTCCCTACATTATCAGTTCTATCATTCGACAAGCTGTACTCAAGTAGATCGTAGTGGTATAGTCATAATGTCTATTCGTTCTTTTCATGTTAAATCCACATTTGGATAAACTGTTGGTCATCAACGAAGAACTATTGTCAGTATTATTGAGATCTGTATCCCACTACTAGTTTATTCTTGAAAAATCTCTCTTTATAATGATTGAACAACTGCATACGTAGGATGAAAAAATTCAACAACAGAAGAATATAGTTTGGTTAACATGAAAGAATAAAAAACAAAAGAAAAAGAAGAAGCCATCATATATATGGCAGGCAAAGCAAAAATTCATCATACAACGCTAAGAGAAGAGAAAAAGAACATACGCATAAACACATAATTATGTAGATATAGAGGAAAGTCCTTATGATCACATCTGAAGAGGATACAAATCATAACAAGCATCGACTACTAGTGCTACCTACAGGAGAAAATTAGTCGTATGTTTTATTTAGAAGGACGGTCTTTTATTGTATCCAATTCTACTTTTAAAGCGTAAAAATCGGTTTTATAATAGTAGAAAATATAACATGCCCGGAAGACGAACAGTAGTGCATACAGTCGTAAACGGCGATGAAATGACATAGTACGAGACAGATGTTGAGGAAAGAATATTAGCACCACTACCGAATCGGTTCATTTGGTTCTGAGCGATGTAAACCTTCGGACTTAAATTTGAAATATCCTGCGCCACAAGATAGGGTTGTGGTGAGATTCGATTAGCTGATACGATATACGCACGACCTACGGACTTTTGTAACTGCAATGGTTGAATGTTTCTCTTGCCAAGTGGAGCTGATATGCATAGATCACCGTTGGGTTTCCATTGGACTGTCGTACCAAGACGTCCAAAGACCTTATTACCAGAAATTGAGAGACGCGCAGAAATGTCACTTATTTGAAGAGAAGTGTTTGGTTGATTGAAAAGATTGGGCAGTGAAAGAACATCAACACCACCGACCCAATTAATAGAACGGGTCGGTGATCCAACAGCGAGTCGACATGTGTTTTTATAAATCGAAAAACTCTGTCCAAAATGATCATTTTCATCTTGACCCATGAGAGTAAGAAGGAGATGGGGTTCAGGTTGAAATGAGTATACGAACAGTTTACCCTGATCGGCTGGAGCGCTGATCATAAGAGTTGGATAGTTCACATTGTTGATGCACGACGGCGGAATCATTTCAAGTGAGTAACCAAATTTCGATTTCGCTGTTTCACCCCAGATGGTGAACGATGCATTGGCAACGGTGAGTTCATTGTTAGATATATTTTGACCAGAGTTCAGGAAGATCCAGACAGCTCCTTGTTGTGGCTGATTATAACCGTTCGGCTGAGCATATGGACTAGTAATGATCAAATCACGTCGAGTATCATTATTAAGGTCTGCCGTGTAGAGTTTGCATCCAATCCTGTCGTGCTCATTCACCCCATAAATGCGCATATATGGAAGAGATTGAAGACCTTGTGCACTACCGAGAAATACAAATACTGCTCCACGAAAGTTAGGTCCGTGTGATGGACTACCAATGACCAGATCGTTATATCCATCGTTGTTCCAATCAAGACAAGCCAATGCTGAACCAAAGCGATCACCATCGCATTCTGGCGAAATAAGTGTTTGATTAGCAAGCTCTTCAATAACTGAAATTTTAAGCTGAGGTACGAGAGAACAACCCACTTGACCATAGATAATGAACACTCGACCACCTTGCACACATCCGAGTACATAATAATCAGGTGCTGACACGACAAGATCTGTAAGTCCATCACCATTAAAATCACCAAAGAGTGTTGCATGACCAAATGCAGCATAGCTTTGATTTGAAATGAGTCCAGTCTGAATTTCGATGAGACTAAACGATGGCACTAACGATAAAGTATTGTCTGCAAAAGGTAAGTAGCCTGAAGGTGCTGATTGAACGTACGATGTCAATTCTTGCTGTTGTTGATGTGTGAAATTGTTAGAAATGTTACAATTCAGATAGTATGGATTAATGCCAGTCAATGTACAAATATCTGTCCCATATTCGTACATTGCAATAATCTGATCCCAATATTGCACTGCCAGCCGAACCATGTTTGATAAACCACCGTAGTAGTATTCATGCAGTTGATCGAGAAGAAAACTATTATTGCTTGAGTATGTGGGATATTCAAGACCGAGAAAAAGTGCATCAGCTAATTTCCCAACGAGCAGAATACTGGTACACGTCTGAATAAGTGTTGTAGTAACATTGTTTTCAATTGATGAGTTATAGGCGACAGCATATCGTTCATAGATCTCTTCAAGTTCATTGCTAGGAACACAACAGTTATCGATGGACGCTATGAATCATAGAGAGATCATTTTTTTACAAAAAAAGCATAAGTTTTTCAGTCTTTTACCCATATAACCGATCGGTAACTCGTAATCCATAACGCAATCTCCGCCTGTATCATCACTTGAATGTGCCGCGTCTTCATTGTCATTAAAACTTTCCCAAGCTGTTGCATCGATAAATCCATTCGGACAGCCTGTCAAATTTCCATGCCAAGCAGCATCAGCTATTTGATGGGAGGCTATAGCGAGTAGAAATACAAGTAACTTTTGTCCATCGTCATCATTGGGTTGTAACGGCGGTGGATGGTGTTCACGCAGATATTCAATGGCGATTTTCATAAATGGATACCTAAATTGTTAACAAGAAAATAACTATTATGAAAAAGAAACGATCGATCCTCCTTACCAATGGGTATCTTCGGCAACTTGATGGAAATCACCGTTATAACATAAACTATTGTACATAATATCAGGATATGGAGAACCTGCGTGCAATGCATCTTGATTTTGGAGAACATATTTTTGATAACTTGGTTTATGTAGCCAAAGCTCTTGAGCGCGATGCGAAATTTCGATATGTGTTGTAATACCACATCCGAACACGACGAAGGGCAATGAGAAAACAAAAAGAACGAAGTTGATCAACATGTTACTATTTTGCACTCAATTTTTCCTTGATATACTTCACAGAAACGTTTCTTATAACAATGATTTGACGATCAATATTAGCAGATGGCGATAATTTTGACGAATAATTGGTTAACGGTTGCAAGCCTGCTTAATAAAAATCCCATTGTACATATAGACAATGTAGAACACTATTAGTGAGTGCAAGTTTTTAAAAATACAACAAAAAGCATCAGGTAGGACAACAGCAAAAAAGAGCAACCCTTTCTTATACTAGTTTTCGAAGAAATATAAATAAACTTGATTGGAATATGAAAATAGTTAATTTTTCATGCTCACAGCATTTCTGTGTTACTTGTGCCACTTTTCTGTCTATAAGAACTATTCCTCTAGAGTTTTCAAGAGAGGTAATCAATTTAAATTTACGAAAATTTTTAAATCGAGAGACAACTGGATCTAGATAAATTCAACTATTTAAAATTGAGTTTTCAAATAAATTTAAATTTTCATATCTCAAAAATGTAAGTTTCTTAAAGTTTATTTTCGGATTTATTAAATTTTCGTAAATGTTAATTGATCATCCCTAAACCTTAGAGACATTTTAAAGAGAACAAGGTTTTGCGAAGAGCAACTGGCTCGATTTTAATCGCCCACATTTTGAATTGTTTTATCGCCGTGATCGCTACGTTTTTACAACTGAATATCTGCAACTTTGAATGCTTACCACTTCGATTTTAGTATTTATATTCTCAATTAATTTCCGAATGCGTTCCAAACGCAAAAATAACATCCTGAAAACTACGTAGATATTGTACTATTAAAATTATTCACTCATTGCGTTTAGTGACACTTGTATGATTTATTGAAAAATAATTATCTCTTCCTTTATTAAGTGTAGTATATAAAATACAATATACAAATATGTAAAAATATAACAATATATATGATAGCTCAGTAAATAAAAATAAGATATGGTTAAACTTTCTTCTTGTTGTAACGTTCTTTTCTCTTCTTTTGAAGTTTATTTAATACTAGTACGGATGGTAAAACGTAACTTTTTCACGTCTCAGTTTCATCATCTTGTCATGAGCAGTGTCAAATAGCCATCAAAAGAAAAGACAAGAACGGTGTAAAAAGAAAAAATTTCAACCATGTGTTTATTTTTTTTTTAACAACATATTTTCAACTCTGAAAAAACGCATTACGTTCGAAACGGTAGGTATCGTTTATTGTCAATCACTTATATTTTGTACAATTTTACATTATACTTTTATATATTTGTATATTATGTTTTTATATAACATATTTAGTAAATAAAGGAAACATAGTTTATTTTTGAATGAAACTATTTTCTTCACAGGAGTTATTCTGAACATATTCTTCACTAAATACACATTTAAAAAGAACACGTTACACGAAATTTTATGGTGCATATACTTTTCACACACCACCATCTGTAATTTTCAATGAAAGAAATCTTTTCTAATGATCAAAATAATACAAAACGGAACAGTTGCATTTCTAGGACAACACTCACAAAAGGACTTGAAAATCCACGCTACAATTACTTTGTGAAGTAAATAGATTTACAGTAGCTAGTTTCTGCTGTTTATTACAGCTAGAATTTCAAAACTCTTCATGGGTGATGAAAACAATTAGAATGATACAGACATAACACTAGAAGATTAGTAGCTCTATTTCAGTATTTGAAAATCGCTCGATGCTTATGACCACAAAGACTTTTTGAAGAAACTACAATTTCAAAAGTCATAAACTTACTCGTTGAATTTGTACGACCTTTTGTGTGTTCACCACCAGAATAGCACTTTAATTTCTCGATGTTGTTATATCAGTGAAAATAAAGCATTGTATTGCCTATATATATCAGATATTAAATGCGATTTTAGAGTATAAACGCCTCTATGTCAATTAATAGAACATGCAATGTTAATTATTTACTGTATATATCTATATACATGTCAAACAGGACGATAAAAAAATATCGAAAAAAAAAAGGTCACTCTTGGAGAGATGTCTATAGAGAGCGACAAGTTTTTGCTTGAAAATCTGTTTTAGATATACTTGTTGGAGACATGGAAGCATGCCTTCAAGAGAATCAATACATCTAGCATCAGCAATGTAGATGCTAAAAAATGAGTGATGAAGTATAAATGTTGCACTTTGAATATAAATTCCAAATCAGGGCAAATTATTTTGACACTTCAATATAGTCTAACTAAAACGTTATTCAAAAATGAGTTGTTAAATCTGGAAACTGTACGATGAAATATCTGCTTTGCTTTCATCTTTAGATATATTCAAAATATCGACAATGTTGATAATCCAAAGGAGATATATAGTAAGAAGACAGAAGCCAAACTGTAAACTGAACGACATAACAACATTTACTCTTGTACTTTCTGTGCTTTAATAATACTTTCTTGATGATTATTACAGATTCCATCCACTTTTGTATTTATAACAAATATCAATACTGGAAAGAATTCGATCAGAATATTTCATGCATTATATTAGAAATACAAATATACATATATCTATATAAAGCTGATTAAGCAACATGTAATTTCAAAACCAAGCTAGAAAGCTGTTTCATGTGTACATAAGATTTTTTTTATTCCAAGCATGTGCTTTCATGCTTTTATTTATCGTTTCGTTTAATTTCATATTATCCTGAACAAACAAGTTAGTAAGAACGATGAAATTGATGAATTAGTTCATATCAACATCTTTAGCACAGTATTCACAAACTATGTTCTCTCAAGAACAACATTAAATTGACTCTTTAATTATTATTTTTTTGTTTCTCTTGCATGATTATGCATACATTTTTATGTCATTGTATAGGTAACACCCACACTCTACTTGTACACATATATTATATTTTATTTGCGAATCATTTTGTCTTATTTTGTATTTATGTCAAATGATCTATTTTGGTGATATTGACAAAGTGCAAAACAATAAATACGAAGAAGAAAAATATCTGATTAAATCATTTTCATTTTAGAGTATAGATATATATCTGAACGTGTCTTTTCTTTGAATGATAATTGTTTGCGATAGCCAAAAAGCTTCACAAGTGGTCGCCAACTCTATTGCCAACAATCGATGATGATACAGCTCTGAATTGGAGTGATAATGTAACTAAATTTTTTGATTCCATTGTTTACAGTGTCTTTCATTCAGAAACATTAAAAGTTATAAAGTGAGAATTCTAGAAACTACGATAAAATTATTGTCAATCATGCTACTAACTGAGGCATATGTTCATTATTGAAGTACAATGATTGTTAAATATTGCTTTTTTCAAGTCTCAAAAGCTACTGGTTCAAAAGGAAATATATCTGAATCTTCTCTGCCATGATAGACTTTTTTATAACACTTCTTTTGATAAAACCAAGAAAAATGACGATCACAATAAATCCAGTTAAGGCTAACCTTGAAACTTGCTCAATATCCTTTCATCATCTGATGTCGTCAATACTCCATACAGATGGGATAAAAAACGTTCTGCTTCATCGCATGTTGTTTTTATTTCTCATTCTTTACCTGACAAGGTATTATCATCGTGCTTTTGATTGATACGATTTATATTTTTCTTGACAGTTCGAATAATCATTTATCTGATTATCTAACTATTTTAAACTTTAATCAACAAAATAAATACATGCACGCTAAAAATACAAATCATTTATTAAGAAAAATAAAACATTAATTTCATACCAAAGATTGTTGTGTAAAAGCCTACCAAGAATTATTTTCTTTTTAGAATTTAGTGAATTTTCTTCAAAGTTTCAGATTTTTTTCATATCATATAACCTAAAAATATAATATTTTTGATCAGATTAATTGAATGAATTGAGTTTTAACTATCTTTTGAAAAATTCTGCTTCAAAAATGTATCGGACATGTCGTCCTCATAAATAATTGTCTAGACATAATTGTCTTTTGTAAAAAAAAAGTTCTTGAAGAAATGATTTCTCTAATAAAAATGTTTCTCGCTCTTAGCTATTGTTTTTAAATATGGATCACTGGATTTAATGCCCGATGACATGAATTATTAAAATAGACTTTTGTATTTCTATGAAAACTACTTCTGTTTATTGAAAATATTCAAATTAAGTTAGATTTCAAATGTTAGAAAATTCTCAATGCTAAACATACAGTATTATTATTTCATTAAATAAATCCTTTGTTCATCTTGTATTGTGGTCATTAATTTATCCAAATTATAATTCATATAAATTAACCATTTGCATTAATAAGTGTGCTACTCCAACCGATATATCATTTAATTTAATATTTTTAATAAGACTGCCAAATCATAAGTTATGTTGCAGTAGATATCAACAGCTTAATGTACATTGAAAACAAAACAGCATCAGTATTCACATTGGTTCATTATTATTCATTATAATAGTTTACAATTATAGCTTAATTCAATTTTCCAAAAGAGTATGAGAAATACATTAATACAGATAGAATAGCTTTAATTGTACTCTATTGTAGTACTGATATTGAAAACAAATATTACGAGTTAGTTAATATTTAAACTTTGCATACAGATTGAGCAGAAAATTACAAAATGATGAATATGTTGTAAACATTTTTTTATATACATATTTCAATAACTCGTTTTGAGCAGGCTGTGAGGTGAGGAAAAAATTTCTAAAAATATTTAATATCATAGATAATTCAGTTTTTCTTAATTGATACAAGTTCCATACGATAAAAAATAAGCAGTATAAGAACACGTTAGAAAAAGAAAAGCAACATCAAAAGAATCGACGAGCTACTGTACCAAAAAAAAATCATAT